AGAGATTCGAGAAAATTTTTTAGCTTGGTAAGTAAAACAAATTATTTTAGTTCACTTTTAAGAACTAAATATAAAGTCATCTTCATTATAAAATTAATATGATTAAAAACTAAAAAGCTTTGCTATTATCTTGAACACAACCGTACGGCCACATATACATATATAAATATGCGTAGGGGGTTGCTTAGATGTTGTGGCTAGATTTGGTTTTATTGTTGCAGCGGCAGCACAAAGCGGCTCTTAATTAAAATGCAACAAATGCACAAAGGGTCCTGCAGCAGGACAACTGTTGCACAACGGGGCCAGGCAGGAGTCGAATAAAATTTCAATTAAATCAATTCGAGCATGTGGCCAGAGGGGCCCAGTGTCAAGTGTCCTGAGGTCCGAGTACCGGGTACTGAATCCTTCGTTCTTCGTCCTTCGAGTGCTGCCTACACACACGAGCAACATGCAACTTGCTACTTGCTACTTGCTACTTGCAACCGGCAACCTGAAGCAGCTGTAATTGAATTTCTGCTGCTGGAGTGGCTTGTTATCTCGTATTTGTTTAATTTTATTTCTCGCTCGGCCGCCCGGCAGTCATCATCATCATCAACTGATGAAAAGATACGGCTGCAAGCCAAAAATTCGGTTCAAGCTGGGCTATTTGCTATTTGCTCTGGCCAAAAGGAACACAGAAAGAAAAAATTAAAACAAACAAACAAATGGGCAAGAAAAAAGAAAATAATAAATTTTATTTAGAGTTTCTGTGAAATTTATATAAACAAACAGGAAACGATTGAGAGCACAAAGTTTATCTTGGGAAGCTTAAATATTTTGGCTATTTTGGTAATCCAATTGGTATCAAAAATTCTTATACATTTTCTAGGTATAAAAAAAAATATTTAAGAAAGTTTTGTTTTTTATAGTTTTATCAAGATGTAAATCAATTAAAAGTAATAATAATTATATTATTTTTTGGAAATTAAAATTTTTTAGTGGAAATTTCTTTTGCGATTTTATTTTGGATCAATGAAGTTTTATGGCGAATTTTCTAGGAGTGTAGATTGTAGTGTTTCTAGCAGAGCTTCACTTATTTAGCCAGCTGTTGCTCGACAGCCGCTTGTCAGCCATTGAGACATTACAAAGCGAAGCCATTTACCAGGATGCCAGGATACAAGGATGCACACACACACTCACGTACTTTACGTACCAACACACTCACACTCCCGGCGCTCGCCATACAATACAATACTTATAGGAATATTCAAGCCGACACTCATTTCATTATTAAATCAAAAAAGTTGAGTAAATTTCAGCCAGCGGCTGACAGCTTCCGCACTTATTTTGCTCATATTTTCCCTATATATATTTTCCCCTACGTATTATCCCGAGCCCCGCCCACCGCCCCTCTCCCTTTTATGTGTGTGTAACAATTCAACTTGATTGCCATTTGTTTTAGCGAGCTGCTGTCCCATCCTCCCCCCGGAAAATGCGGAAAATGTTTTGCGGCCAACACACGCACACAAGTACATTTTCCCCCAGCCACGCCCCCTGTTCGCCGCCCACCGTCAAGTAAGCGGTGTATTCAATTAAACTTCCGTCAAACATGAAGCGAACTCCCAAAACTCCCCCTGCATTTTCCTCTTGCCTTGGGGTTATAAAATAAACATGTTGCCACACACAAAATTTAAATAGATACAAGTTCGCCACACTGCATAACACAATAAACCGCAGTAAAACAAAGGCGGTTGGAAAAAAGACCGCCAAAAGAATGGCCCCGAAAATATGACGGGGATGAAGGAGATCCTGGATATATCTCAGAATAACGAGGATGGTCAAGAAGTGTCCTTGTCTCAGGTTATCAAATAAAACTCTTTAAAAAATTAAAGAAATCGTTCAAATTATTTTAAAGGCTTCTTAAATATAAAATTAGTGAAAATACGAATTAAAAATTAAAGATATTAAACTTTAGTATAGACAAAAATAATATAACTGTAATTAAAATAAAATAAAGGTTTTTAAAAGAAAAGAAGTGTAAAACCAACTAAGAGTTAAATGTATATTATTTGAATCTAGACAAAAATAATATAATTTTAAATTAGAAAACAAATAATATAATCGTAAGTAAAAAAACATTGAAAATATAAAAAAAACTATTTTTCCAACCAAAAGCATTTAAAGACTATCGTGTTCCATTTTCCTCACTTCTTAAAACCAATTTCCCTCGGTTTTTCCATTCTCCTTCGCCAAAACAAAGGCAATTTAAAGACAGCAGTCACAGCAGGGAATGATAAAAAGGGAAATGCGAAATTAAAATACAATTTGACGGCATCAAATAGAGCAATTAAGCGCTTCTCCCCGCCCACTCAACGCGTCGTCGCTTTTCACCCCCTCCACGCCTACGAAAGTAGGCAACACTTTTGGATAGACAGAGAGGGCAGGACTCACACGCACACACGAACACACGCACACCATTGTGCGCGGGAAAACTTGATTACAAGTGTCGCGGAAAGCCCCAAAAAACAACTCAAACTGCGGCTCCATAACAATCATAAGCAGCAAAATGCACATGTACACTGGCAAAAAATTGGGCTAGGACGGGCAAAAGTTGGTCTACAGATTATGAAGATTTCTATTTTAAATTAAATATATTGAATAGTAGCATTTACATTAGTAAAATAGTCAAAGTCGGTCTAAAGAATATGAAGATGTATAATTGAAATACAATTACATTCAATAATAATTATTATCTTAATAAAATAGTCAAAAGTATGTCAAAAGATTATAAAGATGTATTAAATTAAATAACAATATTTATAATATAAAATATATAAATACACAGTTGGCAGTTGAAAACTAAAAATAAAAACTAAAATATAAATAATTGAAATATAATATAGATAATATACATTTTGAAATAATTTTTTAACGAATTTAAAGATGAATTTTACTCAATTTCAACTATCGAACTTTTCTCCCTCTGTGATTGTCCTTTTGTGCATGTTTGTCTGGCATTATTGCTGCTGTGTATTTATATTTGTTGTGCTATTTACGCAATACAACAAAGGACAACAAAGGATGCGCGAATTTAAAGGCAGCCAGGATAACAACAAAAGAAGCTGCAACAGTGGTAGTGATATGAGCAGCAGCAACTTGTGTGGCAGCAGCAAAAACCCCGCGGCAACATCGGCCTTAGAATTAGCTGGAGTGCAATGAAGATATGAATAGCCCCGCCGAATTTGTGAAGGAATTTAGAAATCATTTCTCTGTCTACTTCAGAGATATATTTGCGGATTTTAATTAAAGTTAAGGCGAGCAACTACCGAAAGCAATGCAAATAAAATGAAAACTCAAGACATTTGCGAAGTAAGTCAATCTCCGGAAGAATATTCAGCAAAATGATATTATTTAATAACGATTTTAACATTATTGCATGGTAAAAACAATATATACCAGAAATTGATGATGCGCATATCGATTTGATCCCCGCTTATTTTTTTTTGTGTGTAGCAACAATCTTTTAAATATGAAAAGCTGAGCTCTTCCTGTTGCAACACGAGGTGACTGGCAAACAAGCGACATCAACATTAACACGAGCAGCAACAACACCATCAATGGACAGTGGCAGCAGCAGCAGCAGCAACTGCAGCAACATCAAGTTGCAACATCAGGAAAAGTGTTGCTGCCGGTTGACTAGTTCTCGATGTTGTACGTTGCTGCTTGGCTTCCTTTTCTTGGGGGTCTGTGTAATTTGAAACACTTGTGTCAACGTGGCTAAAACACCCCCACAGTTCGTTGGACCCCCTCCTTTAACCCACTAAAGCCCCTGCTGGTGACATGTTTCTTTGGGTTGCTGCTGCTGATGTTGCTGCTGTGTTCATGTTGCTGTTGCTGCGGTTGTCAGCGTCTTATTATCATCATCAGTGGCAGCTTTTGGCGGTTTTGTATATTTGTAGCTGCTTCTCTCTTCGTTTTTTTTTTATTTCATTTTAGTTTTAAGTTCTGGCAGAGGATTGTTTGGGTTTTCCATGGGGCGGAGGGCTTGAAGGTTTGGGGGCTGCTTACAATGAAATTCACTTTGCCAAAAAGTTTTCATTTCATTAAAAACGTGGCTGTGTGGGTGTGTGATATGTGTGTGTGTGTGGTTAACTGACATGCAAGTAATTCATCAAAAGCAAATGCAACGCAGATGGGAGCCGAGAGTTTTCTGTGTCCACAACTTGTGCCCCACAGCTGCCATACACACACTTGAAAAAAAACACCCACACACACGCGCAAACATACACACACACACTCAGCTGCGAAGACAAGACGTAGCCACAGAAAAAAAAGGAAAAATAAAATACACTTCGCTGCAAGGACTTAAAAAATAAGACAACAAGAAACCAAAAGTTTTGGCAAACACCAAGAAATAGTTGTTGGCAAGACAGGGGTTAAGAGGGCGTAAGGGTTAAGGGGTAAATCATTTGCATGAAAATAAGAAATTTAATTACATTTAAAGGCACAGGCAGCAGCAACACGATTAATATTTCTCCTCGCGGCAAAATAAATTAAGAAAAGGTCCCAAAGTCTATTTATAATAAACTCCCCGCCCCTTTGGCTTCCAGAACCTCACAAGTGTCAATCAAAGTTGAACAAATGAACAAGAGTCAGTCGAAAGTAGCCCAAATTAACAAATAACAAACGAAAAGTAAAAGAAATCATTTTTTCCAACAAATCAAAAAAGTTTCCCTTTGTTTTTGTGTTACTTTTCCATATTAATTGACCTCTCGAAAGTTTTGTAAATCGGTTTGGGAAATTGGTAAAAAAAAGGTGCGTCAGCCGCCAAAAATTGAAATGAGAAAATCAAAAAAAAAAGTTGACTGCCGAAGGGGTTGATTAGAAACGCAAAGAGTGAAAGTTATAGACCCGTAAGCAATAAATATCAAGAGTTTCAACGGAATCTGCGTTATCTTATCGTTTCTCATTGAATTCTTATCATATGAATGGTATGAAAAAAATTGCCTAACCTCTGGCAACCCCCTTAAAAATGTTTCGGTAACTCTAGAAATTCTTGCGTTAAATACATTTACTAAATACGGATGCCTCCGAACACCATCCCTGTTTTTTGTGTTTTTCTTTCTTATTTAATTTATGTTATAAACAATTTAACATTTGCTACTACAACATGTGTGTCTTATGCTTGGCGTCTCCTTATGGTTGAGAGTAAGTGTTCAAAGAGACCATTGATGAAAGTGTTGTGGAATGCTTGTGTGAATGCTTTCAGTCCCTTGGACTTTTTCCAACACTGAAACATTTGTTGGTGAAAGTGTTGTTGAGTCCCTTGGACTTTTGCTTTGTCTGATTGAGAGTTTGTGTTTTACATATACTGTTGGTGAAAGTGTTGTTGAAGTGTTGTTGTCTATTCTAGACTTTTTTAACACTGAATCATTTGTTGGTGAAAGTGTTACTAAGTCCCTTGGACTTTTGCCTTGTCTGATTGAGAGTTAGTGTTTTACATGTACTGTTGGTGAAAGTGTTGTTGTCTAGTCCCAAGGACCAAGAATTACAAACCTCAGCATTTCTGTGTGTTCCTGGTTAAAAATGAGTGTTGGTGAAAGTATTGTTGATATCCCTAGCGTATTGCCCACCATAGTGTGCCTGATGAATGTCCTTTCTTTTTCCTTCGCTGCCTCCCGTGTGTTGTTGAGTCTGCTGCTGGATGTGCTGGTGAGTCCATTAGACTGCGTATTATAAAAGGCTGAGCAGCAGGCCGGACAGGGTCGACAGGCCCATTAAGAACGGCTGTCGACAGTGCCAACTCCTGGGCAGGACGAGCAGGACGAGAAGGATGGCGAGGAGGGTGAAGTGGTGACCCCGACGCAGCAGTCGCGAATCGCCGGAGCCGGAGCTCATTTCGTTGTTGTCGATGGGGCCGCGCACTTCCGTATTGCCGCCGTAATATGGCGGCGGCTTGCGGGTTATGCCCCCCATTTCGCCACCACCAGTGGGCGAACCACCCGGACCACCGCCACCTGCCCCACCTGCCCCACCGCCGCCGCCGTGCTGCTGGTGGTGGTGGTGATGGTGGTGCTGCTGATGTTGATGCTGATGCTGATTGCCGCCCGAGCTGCCCGGCTTATGTGTGGCCGGTTTATTGCCGCTGGTGTAGTAAACGTGCGGCGATAACGGTGTCAGCCCACCGCCCTCGCCGCCCTCCCCCTCGAAATCCTCCGAGGATCCGTACTGCAGCTCCTCGTCCTCCGGCTGGTAGGTGACTTTGACTTGTTGTTTCTGCTTCAAAATGTCATTGGCATCCGCATCCAGGCTTCCGCCCGCACCTCCTCCGCCGCCACCGCCTTTTCCGCCGCCGTTCAGCGGATTTTTATTACGATTCGGTCCGGGGATTTCTGAAAGGCAGCGCGAAAAAAAGGAAGTGAAAGAACAAAAGAGCGAATGAGAAAATGTAATTGAAACAAAGGTGCAAATACGTCCCATTTCGCGGATTCGAGGCACTACAATGGGGGACGGAAAAATAGCAGAGTCACCGGAAAATTTAAAATTAAGTGGGGAAGTTAAAAGGGATTTTAAATAGTTACACCTTAATTTATTTATATTTTATTTTTAAAGAAAAAATAGGAATATTCATTTACTTAATTTTAAAATCAATTAAAATCGTAAAAAATTGCTTAGTTTTTTTGTACTGCTATTTAGCATCATAATAAATATAAATATAAACTAAGTATACTAATTTTTTGTATATAATCAAAATGATTGAATTATTTTTAAGATACCTAATTGGGACTACCTATCGTATTTACCCAAGCTGTATTTAAAATCGATTTAATTCAAGATTAAAAATAATAATAATTATACTTTTTTGTAAATATATAATAAAATGTATTTTAAAGTACCTATTGCGTTTACCCCTGCTGTAGGCTCGCATTTATTACCCATTGATGGAGGGGGCGTGAAAAACTCACCATATAAACGGATACTGCTGTCGACTTCGCCCAGTGAGTTTTTGGCTATGCAGCGATAGGATCCGACATCATCTTTCTGAAACTTCCTGACTATCATCGACATTTTGGTCTCGTACATGGACTGCGAACTCTCCTGGACATGGTACTTGCCCGAAGTCACAATCATCTCTCCTAATGGGTGGTAAAAATATATGTGATTAGGTTTTATTCGGATTTTTTTTTAACTGGTTCACAGCCTACTGGGCTTGTTATTTAAAAATGGAAAATTGCAAACGTAAAGCAGGCTGCGAGCCCAGAATTGACAAACGTCAGACTTTCCCACCAGCTCTATTTCATTATATTTTCTGCTGTAGTTCACATCACAACCAGTTTCGGCTGAAAAATAATATTAAAAATAGCAAAAATATTTCCCCAAGGAAATTCTACGGTATTGGGTAAGTGAGAAGTAATTGTTATAACACTAACACTAAAGTATCTAAGGCTCTTTTTCTAAATGAATACGCGGAATACAATAGATCCAAGTCGAATCTTCTCGAAGTCAATATAAGTGTGTAAATATTTCTGAAAAGCGAAATAATATATTTTCTAAATTGACTTTTAGAACTGATCAACTATGTTCTTTAAGAAATCGTCTCGTGAAGAAGTCCAACTAACTCAGATAACTGTACTAGAACATCTAGACTCTTAGGGCTTTGAAAATTTAGGGTATTTTAGCAAATGGGCTCTGGTTCTCAGAATCGCAGACTTCCACCACCGAACTGCAGCACCTGCAACGAGCGAACGTGCCGCAATCTGACAACTGACTAATGACAATGCCAAGCGATTCGATTCGAATCGATGTTGGAGTAATGATGCGTTCGGCCCCAGAGCCCGGCATCTGCATAGATGTATGTACCCATCTGCCATATAGGCAGATATATATCTATATGTGTCCGTATGTCCGTTTGTCCGCTTGTATATATATATCGGCAGACGGGTCTCGACACTCCGCACACTCGCACACACTTACCCGTGTCCTTAATCCAGTAGTTAATTGATTTGGGCGAGGCCTCGACGTGACACTCGATTTGGACATCAGTGCCAAGTGGTGCGCCGACTAATTGATTCGGCACTTGGATGACCGGATGAACTGCAACAAGAAGGGAGTGGCGTGAGTTGGGCATGAGTTTGTTGGGGGCTTTGGGGGGCTGAGAGGTGTCCAAATAAAACAAATGTTGCCAGCCGATCGGCCATCAAATTGGCTCAGGTTGGCATCAAAACTCAGAGATTCTTGGCCAGAAATCAGGGGGTCATTTGTACTAGAGTCTTAACAGATTTTGTCTAGATGGAATAATTGATGGAAAAGTCAAAACATATTTCTTTAAAATTCTAAAAAAATACTATTGAATAATATTTACGATTCCCACAATATTTATTAAGCAATAATAAGTTAATTTTGTTTAGTAGTTAAAATAAATTTCAAAATATTAATATCTGTCTCCCCAGTATTCAGGATGTCGGACTATTCAAAGTTTCTGTCCAACTTGACGGATCAGCTGGGCCTGCTGCCGGGACTTTCTTCAAAAGGATTCGAAGGACTGGGAAACCTGGGCAACTTGGGCAACCTGGGCAACTTGGGCAACAATCTGGGCAACCTGCGCCCCGCCCACAAGGCTCTGATGTGCGTGGGCGCGGCCACCGTGGCCTGCGTTGTCCTCGGTCTCACTGTCAAGTCCTTGAGGGGGCGTGGCCGCAAGGATGACAAACGGAGGATCATCAAGGTGCTAAGCGGAGCACCGATCAAGCGTGACCTTGAGGGGTCTGTCAAGGACGACGGGGCCGCTGGGGAGGGGAACGTCTTAGTGGTAGACAGTGCTCATTAAGAATTGGAGGATCAAGCCCGAAGGAGCCCCCATATGAGCCACACGTCCCACGGAAATTAATCCCCCTTCACCACCACATCACCACATAAATGCTATAAACCTGTTTTGTGCGTTGCTACGTTCTCTGTATATTTTGTAATTTTATACCGTTTTCAAAAGCGGTTATACAAATAACATGTTCAAAATTTTATAAATGCCCATTCACATACCATCATTTTCGAAACATAACAGCCCACAAATTTCATCTTTGTAATAAACTATTCAGTTTAACCACCTTAAATCGTCAGCAAATTTAATTTAATTTATTGTACATTTAAATTTAAAGCAATATCACAAATACAATGTAACTACAGTCACTTGCAAGGCAGATTTCAAATTTAAATTGTTAAGGAAAAGCTATATATGGGACGTTCCATGTCCACCCGGCCACCCCACTTTTTTATTTTTTTTGTATGTGGACAGTACCACATTGATTGCAAAGCCACTTGCTTCCAATAGTTTACCTCATACCTATTTTGTCAATGTTACCACTCTTTCGCCGTATAATCGCGTTGAAAAGAAAACACAAAATCATTTTTATCCTGCGAACGGAAGAAACAATTGGCATGGTTCAAAAACAGAAAAATCTGTCTTTCCATAGCCGATTACAAGAAAAAAAATAGATTTTATTAGACCGTAGATGACCAAGCGATAGCGTTTTTAAAGTCTAAAAGTAGGATTTCGTCCAAAGGGCCAGTCTGAAAAAATACCATTATATTTTTCTCAGAAAGCCCCCTATTTACCGGATTTTATGCCACTGGTTTCAAAGTGGGATCTCTCTTGACGAATTAGCTATGAATTCTTTTGCACGTTTTTGTAGTAGTTAACTGTCAGAAAAAACTAATAAGTAATATAAAATAATCGTATATGCTTTGGAAAAAATTAACAAATCAATGAAAAGAATTCATAGCTAATTCCTCAAGAGAGATCCCACTTTGAAACCAGTGGCATAAAATCCGTTAAATAGGGGGCTTTGTGAGAAAAATATAATGGTATTTTTGCAGACTGGCCCTTCGGACGAAATCCTACTTTTAGACTTTAAAAACGCTATCGCTTGGTCATCTACGGTCTAATAAAATCTATTTTTTTTCTTGTAATCGGCTATGGAAAGACAGATTTTTCTGTTTTTGAACCATGCCAATTGTTTCTTCCGTTCGCAGGATAAAAATAATTTTGTGTTTTCTTTTCAACGCGAATTTACGGCGAAAGAGTGGTAACATTGACAAAATAGGTATGAGGTAAACTATTGGAAGCAAGTGGCTTTGCAATCAATGTGGTACTGTCCACATACAAAAAAAAAAAAAAGTGGGGTGGCCGGGTTGACATGGCACGTCCCATATTCGAGAAGAAAATATAATAAAAACAAGATACCCGTTACTCAGCTAAAGGGAGTGCGAAAGAGATGGAGAAAAACTTTGATCCGCCGTAACTTTTTAACGAATGGTCCGATTTAAAAAATTTCTTCTACATTTCGATAGGTATTGATAAACACAATAAAACTGCATTTTTACTTTTCCAAAATATTGAAATTTTTAAAATCGTATATAACCGATTGTGGGCGTTAGAGGGGGCGTGGCACCCTTTTGAAACAAACTTGCGCTGCGTAGGAACTCCTAGAATCTGCATGCAAAATGTCAATCTCCTAGCTTTTATAGTTTCCGAGATCTCAGCGTTCATACAGACAGACAGACAGACAGACAGACAGACAGACAGACAGACAGACAGACAGACAGACAGACGGACAGACGGACATGGCTAGATCGACTCGGCTAGTGATCCCGATCAAGAATATATATAGTTTATAGGGTCGGAAACGCTTCCTTCTACCTGTTACATACTTTTGCACGAATCTAATATACCCTTTTACTCTACGAGTAACGGGTATAATTAACAAAGATATAATTTTTTTCGAAAACGTTAAGAACTGTTTTTATCTCAGTGTAGTGCACTGCTATCATTGTGCTCCGCGATAAGAAACCGTTTTTTTGCGCATTGTTTTTATTATTTCGATGACGTCAATTTAACACTGTAATCCTTTTATCATTACTTTTTCTTAATTTATTACTTTATTTATTGATTTATGTAGGTCTGTATCACCAGTCTTTTGACTTCAGCAAGAAGTCAAAAGACTTCTCAGTACTACACTAAAGTTCACATCGTGTGGTTTAACTTATTCACAATGCTTAAGTTGGTACTTTCCGTTTGGTGCGCCTTAATTATCGTCAGTGTGCAGGAATTATTGACGCATGCAGGCTCTGTTTCCCTACTGGACGATCCTCCAAATTATTGTGGCCAATTCTGCCTCACCAAACTGCAACCGATAATCGAAAACATTCCTAAATCCGAGATAAAGCTGGACAGAATTCAAGGCGAACAGCAGGCCATACAGACCAAACTCCTGGAGGTTCAATCAAAACTGGAAACTCAGCAAACTGAGCTTAGGGATCTACTTCTGGCTGTGGAAAAAAGGTTGGACGATCAGAAAACATCTTTCCACGACTCTTTCGAGGTGAGAATCAAGGATCTTCAGGACAAAATTGAAGGCCAACAACAAGCAATTCAGGCAACTCTTCAGGAAACTCGAAATAATGTAAAACCCATATCGCCTAAATTTCAACGGATCGCCTCGAGGTACTTCTATATTGAAAACAATATTACGCTAGATCATTTTGCTGCTGGTGTCGCCTGTCGTGAGATGGGCGGAAACTTGGCGTCGATTAAAAACGAAGAGGAATTAAATGGTATCGCCGTGAGGATCGTGAAATCCGGATGGTATCACCTTAGCACTACCGACCTGGACAAAGAGGGCGTTTTCGTATCTGAGACCACAGGCCTGCAGCCATATATTAAGTGGCGGAAAGGATATCCCAACAAATCTAGAGGCTGCGTTCAGCTATATGATGGAGAAATGGCTACACAAAACTGTGTGGATAAGGACTATTTCATTTGTCAGTCAGACAATGAAATATAAAAACCCCACTATTTGATTAATGATTAATAACACTGTGCAGCATTTTTAGTGCTTTTTAAATTTACCTCGATGGATGCTATATTTTTGGATTCGTTACGAATTCCCAAGTTAAACTGCGTTTTCCAAAAAGTTCCCCGACGCAAGGATTCTTAGCAAAAGGACCTCAAAGTTCGAAAAATGCTGAAATTGGCCAACTTTGCGGAGCTCTCAGAGGCAAATGGATGCATGGTTTGATTCGATGTTAAAGTTTTTTAAAAGATACACCCTTTATCTTTAAAACCCCATACTTAAAAAATTTTTAAGATTTTTTTTAAGGCAGAAACAAATTCTAGAAAACATAGTCAAAAAACATAAAAGTATACAGCTCCGGTCAAAATGGTAGTAGTGTTGCCGCCCTGTGTATTTAAAAGTTTGTTGTTGTAATTGATCTTTTCCTGGTAATATTGTATTGATTATAATTTTACTATTAGACTAATTGGATAAGAAAAAATTACATCATGCAACTTTTAAAAACACAAGGCGGCAACACTGCTACTATTTTGACCGCAGCTGTATGTTTTTCCGTTGTTTTTTGGAATTTATTTCTGCCTTAAAAAAAATCCCAAAATTATTTTATGTATGGGGTTTGAAAGATAAAGGGTGTATCTTTTAAAAAACTTTAACTTCGAACCAAGCCATGCATCCATTTGCCTCTGAGAGCTCCGCAAAGTTGGTCAATTTCAGCATTTTTCGAACTTTGAGGTCCTTTTGCTAAGAATCCTTGCGTCGGGGAACTCTTTGGAAAACGCAGTTTAACTTGGGTATTCGTAACGAATCCAAAAATATAGCATTCATCGAGGTTTATTTTTGATGCTGCATAGTGTAATTCAACCGAAACTCGTAGACTTTTAAAAGTATAAAATATTAATTAAATAAAACCAGTTAAAAAACTCTACATTATAACAATTTAAATTTTTTTCAAAAATGTCTGCTATAATTTAAATTAATAAAATTAAATTGCGAAAAATGGCCAAATGGCCAATGGTTTAAATGCCGATCGATTGGAAATTTAATAACGAGTTCAGTGAGGTATGACAATCCATATTTGGATCAATATTTCATTTGTTTTAGCGAAAAAACTGTTTTGTTTTAGCAAAAAAAACCCTTTTTTTTTGAAAATTCGGGATTTTAGTTTTTGACAAAAATTTCAATTTTCCTTTTGGTTTTTTTGCTGTAACTTGGCCAAAAATGGTCCTATACCAAAAATACATACTGCTTTGAACAGATAAAAAAAAATTATCAATAAATCCATGACACTTTCCGGGTGATCTTGGAAAAATACAATTTTCGCCAATTTTCAATTTTTTTATAAAGGCTAACATCATGTTTTTTTGGATCAATATTTCCGTTGTGTCGGCCAAAAAACGGTATTTTATATGGAAAATCGGGATTTCGGTGCTATTATTTTTCTGTATAGGCACTAAGTACGTATTTGTGAACCTTTTAATGCAGCAACCATTGGGTATTCAAAAAGGACTGCCTTTGTGAGCAGCACAAAAGTTGGCTGGCGCACTTGAGGGCCAATTGAGTGTGGCATAATTTGATGGTGTGCGCTCCTGGCTTTCCCGCTTTTTCACCACCCATTTTGCCCTCTCATTTTCCAGGACTCATCAGAATGCAGTTCATGCAGAGAACGTCGGACGCTGCATTGACAACTCTTTTGCCGATGGCCCAACTTTCGTATTTATTGTCACTTAGTCGGGCTCCTGAAGGGGTTGGCATGCGAGAGTGGGGTTCGAAAAGGGGAGGGAGTGAGGTAGGGAGGTCCTGACCAAAATTGGTGGTTTTGTAAAACCTGCCAGAGGACCGAAAAGCGAATACGAATACCCTGCCCCCGCAGAGCTTACGGCTTACAGATTGCACATTGTCTCCGAGCCTCCATCTAGTTTCCCATTTTCCCACTTTCCCCCGCCCTTGAGACATTTGCGGCCATGTGCATTGATAGTTGATTGCAGGTCCTGCAGCGGAGTCCTGGCGCAGGACTATCCCAGCCGGAGGATTTTAATTGATTTCCATGGCCGACTGCGCTCTGTCTTAGCCATCAACTATCTCTAATACCGCTTGTGGTCGGCCCTTTTAAATTTCATTTATGCATATGAAATAACGATGCTGTCTCTGCTTTTTTGCCCATCCGCATGCACACTCTAAAAATGAATAATAAATAATAAATTATAATCCGCCTGCTCAAAATCTCAAACAAAAAGCTGTTCAAATTGGCGTTCGATAACCCATAAAGTTGAAAACTTTTTTAATTGTGTCTATATTATATTAGCAAATATTTTAAAAAAGTTAGAAAGAATTAAATTACTTTTGCGGCCAAACATTTTGTTATTATAAACTGTAAAGAAATTGTTGTAGAAAAGTACACTGAAAATATTAAAAGTCATATATATATTTAAAAATTTAAAAATACAATAAGGCACAATTATTACAAAAATGCTGAAAAGTAAAAAATATAATAATAAATAAGGTCAAAAATTGTAATGCTTTTAAAATTATATTGATTATGTGTGATTTTTTAGAATTTAAATTTAAACTAAAGTGCAATAGTTTTGTTTCGATCTTCATGTAATTTCTTATAAAAAAATTATAATTTTGTAGCATTTAAATTTAAACTAAAGCTTAATAGTTTTTTTGGATATTCATATAATTTGTTATATAGTAATTAATTATATAGTTTTTAATTTTTTTTTGGTTTTTCTACATATTTTTGCCGAGTGTAGGCGGCAAAGACGCCGCTGTCTGTTGGGGTTTGAGGTGCTTTTCGGACCGGCTGACGTGCTGCTCGACTGCCCCTGCTTTAATCCACATGTGGATCGAGGATCGGGGGACTGGGACCAGGCAACTGCCACATTTCGGGTCTATCCTCAGTGCATTTATGCCGGATAAAGGACCTGCAGTCCCTCGGCGCTTTCGCTGGGCGATTTGCAATTTTGCAATGATTATTCTGAGCATGTTCCTGCCTGGCCAACGGCCACCTTTCAACCTTTCACCTTTCACCTTTGGGCCATTCAGCCATTTGGCCAGGTGCTTCTGCTCCTGCAACTCGCTCCGTTTTGCGGCAAACAAAGCCACAAATATGCACTAATGACGTCGTCAGCTGCTGCCACTCCTGCCACTCGTGCCACGCCCCCTTGCCCCATTGCCTTGCCAACGGACAAGTCGCCCTCTGCATTTCCCCAGCTTTCCCCCCAAAAATTTCCCAGCAATCTGCAGCAGCAGACTCGCAATTCGCTTTTCGGGCAATTGTTTTTGGAGAGCTTGAGTTGGTCGAAGGTGACAAAAAGTCCGAACTCATGCGTGCTGTAAGCTGCTAGTCGGCGTACAGTGCGTTTCATGGGCATAGGTTTCTAAGAGCCGAACTGTCTGAGTGACAGACCTCGAAAGAGGAATAGGCTCCTGCAATCTATGGAAGCTTTAAGGCTTCTAAATGTAGGTACAAGGTGAAGAATACTTCTATGAAGTACGCTGTGGCTTAGTATTTCAGTGTATTACATTTTTTAGATCTTATGGAGCTTATATAAAGATTTTAAGATATATTTCACGCTCTTAAATATAGCAAATTATAATCTAGAGATTTTATTTGTAATATTCTTTTATATATTAACTAAAATAAAGTTCTTGAAAATTCTTTAAAAAATTCTGACGGTTTTATTTAAAACGTACCTTTGAGATCTTAATTTTTGAAGCCAAAAAAGGTCTAACAGTATTATTGTAAAATATCTAAATTAATTTTCCTTAAGCAATTTTGTATCTTTGGATGTGAATTTCTATTCTAATATATTAATCTAATTGATTTGGGCTCGCAGGTTGTTATTTTTGGCAACCTAAGATTCAAAGGGATAGACGTGTGTTTTTTTTTTCGCCCCACAATGACGGATCTGTAAGAGAAGTGGTCAAAATCCTTCGGTTTCATTTCTTTTTCTGACTCTTTTGGTGGCTTTCACACGTACGTGATTTTTCCCATTTTGCTGCATTTATTTTCTGTGTGCTCGATTTACCACCCATGACGAGGGCGTTGCAGGAAAAAAAGGGGGCGTGGCAGTGAAATAAACGTGCCCCGTGACCAAGAGTGAAAATACAGATGAAGACTGTTTTTCCGGCCGGGTTAAAGATGCAGTATTGCCCATCGCAAACGACATGTTGCTCGCGGTATGTTGCATGTTGCACATTGCTGGCGGGATGCGGCACGCTGCCAGTTCCTGTTGCACATCCCAAAGGTGCGGCTAATTAGGGGAAGCCCCTAATAGGCCGGCGAACGGAAAGCAGAGTGCAGCGGAAGCGGAAAATGCGGAATGTCAGAGGCAAATGCACTGGTAGAAAAAAGTCCACATCATAAAAGCAAATGGGTCAACATTTTCTCTAAAATTTATAAAGAAGTTTCTTTATCAAACTTATTTATTAAAACTGAAATTCCATTTTAAATAAAGTAGAGTGTACCTTTTTTCTTTAATGCTCCTACAAATCCGCCATCACTTGGTTAATTTCCTTAAAAAGTCCTAATAAAAATTAAAAAAAAATTGGGATATACGTTTTTCTACCAAACAAGTGCTTCCTAGGTCTCTTTTAAGACCCCTTAATTTTTTGCTGTGTACTTTTATCAGCCACTTGCAGCAGCGGCGAACCATCTGCAACTGAAGCATCGTCGTGCAACTGACTCCGCCAAAAGTTTCCGGGAAAAGAGCAGCCAGCAACTCTTTGGCAAACAAATTGCAAGGAAGTTGTTGCAAAATGGCAACAGGAAAAGTAAACACGCACCGGAAACGGGGAAAAGTGGGAAAAGTCAGGGGACGCGCCACTCGAGTTGATCAAAAAGTTTTCCCAGGTTTCTACCTCGGCTGCTCCTCGAAGATAACTGCTAACCAGCGACTGTTTACTGCTGACAAGCGGTCCGAAAAGTTGGACTCGAATGGTGGCAAACACGGCGATACCCTTTAAATTTTGGGGAAAATAGTTTGCCACCCAGAAAGGGAAATTCATTTGCATTACTTTATTACTTTTTTAAAAATTTTAAATGGAATTGTTTTTGGTTAATTTTTCTAGTAATTATTAGATAATTAAGAAACTCCCGGGCTTTAAAAGCTTTCTTTAACACCTGTATTCAATGGGTCAAGTTAAGGTTGACCTTTTAAAAAATATTTTTTTTAATTTTTATAAAATGGGTAACTAACAAAAACTAAAATAAAAAAACCGACTTCTTTATATTCTAATCTGTGCTTAAGATTTCGGTTCCACTTTTATGTTTTTATTGATTTTGGTATTTTTTCCAAGGGTTAAAGATTTTACGTCACACATGGACGTAGGGCCACTTAAAGACCGCATTAACACAATGTCAAAATGTTAAAAGGCGTGATTTTGCCACCTAACTCGTAGGGTGGACCCGAAAAAAGGGGTGGTGCAGTGGCAAAAGAGCCAGAGAGCAAATGAAGGAGGGTGGCGGACAAACAAACGCAGTGCCCACCCCCTTTCCCCCTTTTGACTGCCTTGATGATTGAGTGAACTGCCACATGGCAGCAGAGTCAAAAGTGCAGAGGCGGAGGTCTGTTGGAAAAAGGGGGCTGCGAAAAATAGTAGGAATATGGGGGAGTCGACAGCACGTGCTGCAGACAGCTTGACAAAAAAGCTGTGGTCCACAAGAACCCCCCAAAGAAAAAAGAAAAAAATGTCGTAAAAAACAACAAGCAAAGACGAAGCAGGTAATGCCCGGTATCAGTGACAGGATTTAAACGGATTACAACAAGGACAATCGAGTTAGCACGGCACATAGAGCATAGGACCCGAGTTTACCTTCTGTCTTCTGCCGTTTGCCTTTCAACCCACTGCCCCCGCATTTTCCCCCCACTGATTCCTTGCGCTGCGGGGCATTTCCTCCGGTGGAGAGCACTTCCGGTACACCGAGAAGAAAACAAAGGAATCTATGGGTATACTAAAAAAATATAAATACTGCTTAAAATTTAGATTATAGTGAAGGCTTTCTGTTAAACAGCATTTAGGTTATTTATAATTTAACCTTTTTGAATTTAAGATATAATACTCATGGAAATTGTTGTATCTAAATTTGCACCTTATTTAGAAAATTATTTAAACAACTTAGTAAAAGTTAAACATAGAAGATATTAATACTAATTATAAAATAATATTAAATGTTCCTAAATAAATTATTTTATAGTGTTACAGTACATGTTTCCCCCGTTTTCTCGCCGTGTCTGAACTTAATGTAAGATAAACGCCACAGCTGCCGTGGCCAAAGCCCAGCTGGTTGACTGATGTTCATGATGGCGATGGCAAAGATGAGGTGATGGGATGTGGATGCGGATGCGGAAGGGGATGCAGATGCATATGCAGCACCGACACCGACACCGAAAAGAGTTGACCAACCGCAGGCGCCTCTAATTAATGGCGCAGTGCCAGGACAGAAGAGGGGGGCAAATACTCACAGTGTATGCTGAGGGAGATGCGCTTGGAAACCGATGGGGGCACTCCATTGGAGGCGATGCACAGATAGGAGCCCATCTCGTTCCTCGAGATCTTTGACAGCTTCAGCACCTCGCCGCGAAAAGAGGGTGCTGGAAAGGGGGGGAAACAACGGAAGAGCGGGTAAAGTAAAACAAATAGGTTTTCCCGCGGGAAAAGCACTACTTACCCAGGGTCTTGGTGCCCACATTGTCCTTCAGGACAATCTCGTTGCCGTCTTCGCGCCGCCAGGTGACAATCGGTTCCGGATAGCCACGGGCCCTGCAAATACAGCGCGGTTAAAGTACAGTAATGGCTCGATAAAATCATTTGTTCCGGGAAAAAGTATTTTTTATATTTTATATCAATGAAAAATGATTTTGTTTTAATTTTTATTTGTTTTGATAAGCTTACAATCTAATGTATGAATTTTTCCATTTTCATGATTTTTTGCAATAAATTACCATAAAAGAAAAAATGTAAGGTTTAAGTGGAAATTTGTTTTGAATTTTATAAGGAATTTAACGAGGTGTGATGAGAATCGTTATTTCGATTGTTTCGACAAACACTCACAGTTTTTGGATGGAAAATAAGTAACTGAGTTATTGGTTAAATTGGGAATTTTTCTTAATATTTCTTTTGGTGCTGTAAGTAGGACACAAAATCCAAGATACGTACTGTTCAAGTAAATTTAGAAAAAAATAAATTTTTTGCAAAAAACCCGAGGTATGACAATCAATTTATTGATTATTTCCAATGTTTTGACAGATTTTTTTGGCTAAAAATCCGGTTTCTGTGTATTTGCTGTAACTTGGCCAAAAACGTTCCCGAATCGCTTTCAACTGCATCTCAAACCCCCGAGGATCAGAAAGCATTTAGGAACCCATAAACTACAAACCAACTGGTCACGCCCCCTCAATGTTGATGGTAAATGGAAAATGGCAAATGCCAAATGGAAAATATTCAAGTTCAGTGGCTTATTAAATTTAATATGACGATGCTTCAGCCGAGGACTCCATTGTGCCCGAGTTGAAGCGAAAACTTTTATGCAATGCAAAGAGGGGGGGCGGAAAAGTGGGAAAGCGGAAAAGCGGGCAGGCAAAACGCTTGAAGCCAGCAGGCGCTCGAGTGTGCGGTGCAGTGGGAAAAATGTCGGAAAAATCACTTGATCGACGTGGGGACGTTCGCGTACATTAAATATGTCATTACAAAATTGTGGAAAATATTTTGAAATTATTAAATTTGCTTACCAGAGCCAACATTATAAATATATTTTATTGTTTTTTTTTTAATCGATCAATTAATACAGAATCGTAACTGTTTGTAAATATTATTCTCCAATTGGTGCATAATAATTTTAAAATTATTTTAAGCCAACGGATCGCATAGCCAATATACCCCTCGAACTTGGCGATTGCGGGGTATTTCGAGGAGAAATGCGTGTTAAGACAGCAGTTGTTCAACAGCAAACCAGACACGGGTGTGGTAAATTTTTATGATGCCGCAAACAGATGCAAAATGGCTAAAAAGAAAATCAGCCTGCACACACACAGATACACATACACGTGGCCAACACAATGGGCCAACAGTTAGCAGTCAGCGCCAGTTTCTTGGCCATGTTTAGTCGTTTTGGCCCGGCTAAGTGCAATTTACATGGCCCAAAGACGGCTAGACAAAGCGAAATTCAGTTCGGTTCAACAACTTGTTCAACGGAACTCACGGAGAGGCCCTCGCTGTATTGTCTTTAATCTTTCATTGGTACAAAGTTCAGAGGTTTAAAATTTAAAACATTAAATATGGAATTTGGAAGCAAGTGTTTAATTGTATTTAAGTTTAATGGTCGATGCTTTTAATGCTCGCCGCGCCAAAGTTGAGTTCGTTTCAAGGGATTTGCACTAAGTGGCATTAAAAATGAGCTGAAAACAAAAGAGGAAATTCGCAGACAAGTCCTCTAATAGCTTTCCACACTCGCACACATTAACACATGGAAGGGCGGGAAAAGCGCGCTTATCGCCGTCGTTTCATCATTTTGCGGTTAAATCGTTGAAAAACCAAAAGAAAAAAAGGAGAGCAACACTTTGTGGTTGCGGTCAAGTTCATAAATCAGCCACCAAAACCAACCCCCGCCAAACCCCAAACACACAAATTAGAGACCCTAATGCCGTAATACCCCTTGAAATGGGCTAGAGAAAATCGGTCTCTGTCTCGGCGGAGAGTGTAAAAAATGTCATCCTGGATTCTGGAATCGGAATTCTTTGGAATTCGGAAAACCAACATACCCATCGGGCTTAAATCCCAGGATGGCCAAGGAGTTTCGGTGCTAAATCAAGAGAAATGAAGTGTCACTTAATTTGTTGACATTATTACACAGAAAGCGAATGAAAGTTGCGGAGAGACGAGATGGAAATGGGAATGGAAGATGGCGAGCGGAAACGGAAACTGACATTTAACAGTTTAAGTCGAAACTAAAAATGTAAGTTAAAGTTTTGGAAAATAAGGCTCACTTGCAGAGGTTAAAATAATAAATAATATTACGAATTTAACACTTTTTTGAGATTGACATGAATTTATTTTGGTATTTATAAGATTAAAGGTAAGAACGAGGCGTATACGTAATAAAGATATGATTGAAAAGTGTTGTTTTTTATTGTGTAAACATTAATATATTTATATTTCCGTTTGTTAAAGACGTATATTTCTTAGGAATGTCAAAACCAAAGCTAAAACCATACACGGTACATACTCACCGACATGTCAATCGCACGGAACTGCCCTCCGGCACAATCACATCCGAGGAGGTGTCCTCGCTGATGAAGTCCGGCGGAATCACGACGTCCAGGAAGCCGATCTGCAAGTGCCAAAAATGGGTAGAAAAAAATAACAGAAACATTAGCACGCAGCGGATTTCATTCCACTTACTTAAATTATCACAAATTGCTAAAGGGACAAGTGCACACTCGAGTGCACAGTGCGAAAAACCTAGGACTTCTAAAAACAAATTAACTCGTGATTTAAAATTTATTTAAATTTTTTTATAAATATTATAAATAGATTAGTAATACTTAAAAAAAAATTGTATAATTGTTTAGTCAAAAAAATTGTTTAACTCACTGTTTTCAAAGACAAAGAAAAAGCGTATATTAACCAAATTTCGAAATAAACCTTAAGCATATTTTGCCAGTGTACACTTGGCGAAAATTCGCTGATTATGCAAGTGGCTCGTAAAGCAGGAGTAACGGCAAAGTGTTTTATATGGCGACTGGTGAGTAAAGCGAAGTGATGTCGAATAAACTAAGAATAAACTAAGCCAAGGTAAATAGTTTAAGACAGAGGGGGGAATGGAGGGGGGTGTGGCAAAAAAAGACGGGCAGTACGGTGCACTTTGACCCCACTGCTGTTGTTGTTGTGAAAAGCGTAAAAGTGCAAATAAAAATTAAGGAAGCATGAAATACATTTTATTGGCACCATAAACTTCACTTCGCTGGACACACGAGTGTACGTGTGAGCGGACACACCCACACATGCCGAAAAACATCCACACAGCCATACAAAATTTATGTATGTGTGCGTACATGATGCTGCCAATTTATATGCCCCAACATTTTCCTTTTTTCCCACCACCCCCCGTTTTCTCATAGTTTTCGCTTTCGATTTGCTGCGCTTTCTTTTCCCCAAACAAGCAGAAGAATAAGTGGGTGGAAAATGTGGGAAATCGAGGAGGGGGTAGATGTGGGAAATGGTGGAAATGGCGGAAAACAAACAATAACAACGGCAAGTACAACAGCTCAATGCATTCGCATTTTCCTTCACCGTTTAATGCCGCATGAAAAGAATGGATCGGAAAATGGGAATAACATTTTCACAACAACGTGCAAAAAGCGATGAGGTTGCGAAAATATCATGAATATAAAATATGAATCGAAAAGCTGGGTATTAAACTAATCAGAATTAGGCATTAGACATATTTTAAAATACTCTTTAAAATATTTACTGTATATACTAATTTTTTATCTTTTTACACTTTTAGGGCTTTCAGTTCTTACGACAAATCAGAAATAAAATTAAACATAATTTGAAATACTCTTTAAATCAATAATTTTTGCACTTAAGAACTATTTTATATATTTTGACATTTTAAGGGCTTCTACTTCTTACGAAAAATTCAATTCTGTTTTACTCTTCTAGGGAACGCTAGTGCGTATGCGTAATTTATTTGTATCTCATTAAGTATACGTAGCTGTGGCTGAAGAAGTAATCAACTCACCTGGCTCTTCATGGGATCCGTGTTTAGTTGGCACATATAGCCGCCTCGATCTTCCTCGGAAACCGCTTTTATGTGCAGATTCCACGTGTTCTGGTCCAAATGACTCACCGTGACACGAGGATTGTGCGTGATCACGTTTTCGTGAATGGCCTGGATGGCCTTGGTGTCGGCCTTGAGCCAGCCCACCTATATGAAAAAAGGAATTTTAAAGTTTTTAAAAATATATTCTTTACAGCAAAAAGTTGAAATAGACTTTTATAAATGTAATTAATAATTTCAGTCACTTGAAGCCTAAAAAAAATATTCTATCAAATTTCTTCAGTAACCTATTAAATATTTAATATTTAAATATTGGCATATCCAGGATGTCGGACGTGACAATTTTCTAATTTTACTTTTTTTGTTTTATAGCTCAAGAACTTGTTTTTTGCCGCGTCTCTAATTTACTTATTTCTAAGAACTGGCTGGGCAGATACTCTTCATTCACCATAAACACAACAGCGTCAGGGGTATAAATCAAAAAACAGAAAAAGTACAAATCCTCCGTCACTCTTATTTTTAAAGTTGAATTCTAAAAGCTGTCACGTCCGACAGTCTTTCCAAATTTCGCATTTACGTTAAAAAAATGTGTTTTTCATCTTAACGGGTTGTGTTTTTCGTTTCAATTTAAAACGATTCTTATTTTAGAGAATTAAACACAAAATATATATTTTTCTTTTCAGTGCACTGGCGTTTACTGTTGACTTACCCGATAGCCCCCCAAACGTCGCACGTGACACGTGAAGGTTGCATCGCGTCCGACGGCCACGGACACGTTGGAAATGCTCTCCACGAACTCCGGCTGAAAGGCGCCAATAGCTGCAAGGACGAAAGGAAAAAAGGGGCAGAGATTAGAGTACAGCGGTGTGTGTGTGTGTGTCTATGTGTGTGTGGCAGTTAATGATATCGCGCCAGTTCACTGGCAATGCATTCAAGGCAACCCAACCCTGTTCACTGCGAAAAACCCCGCACCTTGAATGTTGCGCCTGCCAAAAAGTCCGTGATTTATCGTTTTTAAATGTGCCCCGAAACCACCCATCGACCCATCCACCCATCCACCACCCACTGCATTCCGGCCTTGCCAACAACTTAACTGTGCCAGACGACCGGCGGCAGACAATTTAAAGAGCTGCGGCGGCTAATTGAAGATCGACATCCGGCTGTTCGACTGCGGCACTTCGACTCCCCGGGAGGCGAGAGTCCGTAGTCCGGACAGAAGTGCGGATACGAATACGGATACGGTTACGGATGGGGATTGAGATTGGGAAAGGGAAAGGGTACGGGGCACACGCAAATATAAATAATTTATTGAATCATCGAAATCAAACATTTCACTTGCAAGTGCTGCAAAAAAGTTTTCCAGGCCGTAAACCAAAAAAGGAAAAAATGGGGAAGTGCAAGTGAAATAGTCAGCGGGGTAAATACTCTAAATTATAATAAATCAAAAATATAACCTATATAATAGTGAGTTATTTGAACTTTTATTAAACAACTTTCAAAAGGCTGCTAACCAGCCCATTATCTTTAACGGAATTACAACCGAAAGAAGACATGTCCTTATTTTTATATTAATTTCATAAAAAAGGTATATGGGTTCTTTCATTAATAAAAACAATGATCCCTTTGCCTAATATACTCCCCAAAAGCTGGAAATAATTTAAATAATAATTCAAAATAATAATTTTTAAATTAACAAGAGTAGTAGTATTTTGTTTATCTTAAAAATCTCAATTAATAAAGATATAAAAGAAAAACCGATAAAGGTGAGATCGTTTGTTCGTATAAGCCGAAAGACCCCTTCGGTGGGGTATGGAAAAAATAATGGAACCGAAGGAGGTTAGCCGGGAATAATGGGTGGAGTGGATCGAGGGGTTTCGCCAGACAGCAGCAGCCACGCACGACTGTCCTGGCTGTCCTTACTGTCCTGGCCGCAAAATCCCCCGAAACCCCGAATATCCCCCAACCACCGTCGTCTACATCATCGTAATGCATGCAAAAAACTTTTGGCAAACTTGAAATTTAAATATTTATAGACAGTACCGTTGGCTCACGAACGGATTGGATTGCCGGGGATCGAGGGGGGAATATTGTGTGTAGAAATATATACTTATGTACGGAATAGGGCGAGATGTGCTGAGGAATGTGCTGAATTGACTCAATTGGCCAGAGGCATGATTTATCGCACTTTCGGTAGCTCTGCCTGCCTGCCAAATGCAAAACGGAGTCCCAGGAAGTTCTACAGTTGATAACACTATGCAGCATCAAAAATTTACCTCGATGGATGCTATATTTTTGGATTCGTTACGAATTCCCAAGTTAAACTGCGTTTTCCAAAAAGTTCCCCGACGCAAGGACCTCAAAGTTCGAAAAAGGCTGAAATTGGCCAACTTTTCGGAGCTCTCAGATTCGATTTTAAAGTTTTTTAAAAGATACACTCTTTATCTTTCAAACCCCATACTTAAAATAATTTTAGGATTTTTTTTATGGCAGAAATAAATTCCAGAAAACATAGTCAAAAAACTTAAAAACAAACAACTGCGGTCAAAATAGTAGTAGTGTTGCCGCCTTGTGTTTTTAAAAGTTTGATGTTGTAACTTTTTTTTATCCAATTAGTCTAATAGTAAAATTATAATTAATACAATATTACCAGGAAAAGATCAATTACAACAACAAACTTTTAAATACACAGGGCGGCAACACTACTACCATTTTGACCGCAGCTGTATACTTTTATGTTTTTTGACTATGTTTTCTAGAATTTGTTTCTGCCTTAAAAAAAATCTTTAAAATTTTTTAAGTATGGGGTTTTAAAGATAAAGGGTGTATCTTTTAAAAAACTTTAACATCGAATCAAACCATGCATCCATTTGCCTCTGAGAGCTCCGCAAAGTTGGCCAATTTCAGCATTTTTCGAACTTTGAGGTCCTTTTGCTAAGAATCCTTGCGTCGGGGAACTTTTTGGAAAACGTAGTTTAACTTGGGAATTCGTAACGAATCCAAAAATATAGCATCCATCGAGGTAAATTTAAAAAACAGTAAAAATGCTGCACAGTGTAATCTGGATAATCTGCTTGCCGGCCACAAGCCAAAAATATTCCAGCAAGTTTATTTGGGCAAGTGAATAAATTCATTGCTGGATTAATTGCTGCAATGCATTTAATTCAAGATCGAACTGATTGAATTCATTATTGATTTATTGCCAAATTCAATGTTGATTTACCCGCAAAGTCGAGTGAGCAAAGAACAATGGCTGAATTAACAAAAAAACAATTTATGGCTGTATTTAAAGTTTATTGGCTGTCATTGAAGATTTTATTGCTGAATTTAAAGACTTTTTGGAAATCATAATAAGCTATGCATTCAAAATATACCAACGATTGCAAAAATATTTTTTAAATTGTATTTTGTAGAAAAATTTTATTGTTTAAAGGATAAATATTCATAAAAATATGTAAAAGAGTAATAAATTACCACAATATTTTATAGTGTAATATAAAACATTTAATTGAATTTACTTTTGTACTGTTTAATAGGATAAATATTTATTAATATTTGTAACAGAGCAAAAACAAGTAGGTTCCCAAATATTTTAGAAATAATTCAAATATTTATTGTATATTATGAATAATAAATTTTTATCTATATGAATAGAGTAATTATTTTTAAACAAAATCTTTGGATCAAGTTTCGAGTGCAAGAAGGTCGGAGAGTCTGTTTCAGGAACTCGGTAGCCACTCGACGGAAGCGAAGGGCCACCCTAAAGCCAAAGTGTTGTGGGTGCGGACAGTACAGTGGATCCTGGGCTGCGGCAATACCTCTCCACTCCCCTATCCTCTTTGGCAAATGGCAAATGCTGTTGCTGCTTGGCTGACTGCGGCTTGTTTGTCAATCTGTCGTAGAGTCTCTGCATGCATGCGAAGATGTTTTCCAGCATTGTGCCAATCCCAATCCCAATGAACTTGTCACCGCTCCCCCACCCGACCCCAGAAAACTCTAACCCCCCGCCCGCCACCCAGTTGTTTGTGAACTTTGGCTTGACTTCTGGTCTTCGGCCAGCCTCCTTGGAGCCTTTCTGCCGGGCATTTTCGGAAGCCAAGAGCCAGAGTCAATTAACCCCCGACTTTGGTCCACTCAAAATCCAAAATCCGAGAGCCGAGATCCGAAATCCAGGTCCCCCGCCTCATAAATCTCCGCCTTCATTTCAATTTTCGGCCCCACCATTGCGAGGAGTCTTGTCAATTTTTGGCTCGCATCCCGAGGCTCCTTTTCGCATTTTCGCATTTACTCGGGGAAAAAGTTTAAATCACACAACGACAATGAGGATTTGCCGAAGCAAATTTATGGCTAAGGACATTGGCAAAAGTTAAGCAAGGAAAGGTATTAGTTTTGGGCGGCTGGGTGTTTTATATGTGTGTTCGTATGTGGGTGGCAAGGTAAACACACACGATGCGATACAAAGATGCCAATCTGCATGGGAATGACAGTGGGGACTCTGATTTTGGCACTGGGGAAAAAATGTTTATATTTGAACAGAAGATATAAATATGCAAGCATCTTGGTTCTGTTTTAAAAATATTTTAAAAATTACGGTTAAATTTATTACTTTTGTTTTGTAATTTAAATTTTAAAATTTTAAAATTGGTATTGGAATTTTTTGATTTAAAAACTCTTAATAAAAGTATGCAAAAAATAAAGCAAAATCGTCTTTCTGTACGAATTCATATCATTTATGGGTTAAAAATGTATTGTTGCATACTTTTAGACACCTATTTTAATATATTAAAGTGATTTAAAAAAATCCAGATATTTTGTTTCAACAAAAATATTTCATCAACAAAAGCTTAATCAATTCTGAAGCTCTCTTTTACAAATGGCAATTATTTTTTTCAATGTATGATGTCACCTTTTCCCTGGCCGTTCGCTTTTTATGGCCTCACACTTGAACAGGCCCACAAATCCAGTGGCAAAGCACCAATGATAGGTGATAATGGCAAATTTGAAAGGCAAACAGAGTGGGATTCTTCGACCCAAAAGACAGCAAACTTAAATACAACAAACTGGGGTTTGGAAACGGGCACCAGAACTCTGTCTTAAATTCAAGTCTTGGCCAAGACAAACAAATGACTTGGGGGGCGAGTAACACAAAAAAGGAAGGAAAAACAAGAAGATGCCTGCAAATGACTGTCGGTTGGCATTGAAATTAGCATTTTTACAAATCGTCGTCGGCTGAACTACTGCCAATTTTCCTCCCACTTTTCCCCGGCGAAAATTCAATTTAAATTTCTCGCCTTTTTCCCTTTTCGGCCCCCTAACAAATGTCACGCAATTAATTGTGTCTTGATTTCTGTTTCACACTTTTGTGTTCTATTTTTTGTGTGTTTGAAAAGGGTTTCACTTTAATTGACAAAGTTTTCTGCCAGCGAAGACGGGGACAATTCTTGCATCGGTTCAATATTATTTAAGATAAAATTACATTTGGCTAAGAAAAATACATATAAATGTGGCCTTTAATTCAAGCCAGTAAAATAAATATTTAAAAATTACGCTGAAAGCTCAAAACAGTCTGAAAATCCCTAATAAATGGTATTTATTTGTATATTTATTATTAAATGTGTCCATCGTTTTTATCTGTTTTTTTTTAAACACATACTCCACCATTTCGACCTTAAATCCTCTTCTGATTCTTTTTTTCAGCCCATTTTCGGATTTTATTCCTTGGGCGTCACATATAATTAATTACGAATTACGCGCATTTTTTGGCTTGCAGCAACTTTCCTCTCAGGAAAAGCTGGGCAAAAACTAGTAACTCCGTCTGCGGCTTTTCCCGCTGACCGCAGGCGCTAAAAGCCGAAGGACCGCCGACGAAAAAATCGTGAATAAATGCAGGATAAAGGGAGTTGAAAGTTTAAACTTATAAAAAAAATACTAAAAGAGTGTAAATGCACAGAGAAAAACAAAAAGTTGATATAATGATAACTTGTAATCTTACATTTTAGGCATTTTAGCAACAAAATATTTTCAGTCCAGTTTCATTCCCGAAGCTTCGTTTTATTTGCTGCATACTTTTAGACACCTTTGTAAATACGTTCAAATTTTTTTGATAATAACGTTATGTTTATCTCTTGGATATAATTCAGTAGTAAACAGGAGAATTAAACCATTTAAATATACATTTAACAATAGAATATTTTTTATTGTGCTTTCGTGTATAAAAATCATGGCTACTGCCGGTGTTGTTGGTATCAATTAAGTCACTCGGGGGACAGCAACAAAATGGCCATTAATGGCGCTATCTCGCTCACGCCATTTGGCCATATTGCGGTTTAGCTTACATTTCACATCCGGTGGGTGGATTTCACTGGGCGTTGGATGTTGCATGTTGGGTGGTCTTACGGGCGGTGTGTCCTATTTGGCAATTAATTTGCATATCATTGATATGCACACACAGTAACAAACGCAAACGCACACACATCCACATGCACATTATATTTGCTTAGGATTATTATCGGTTATTAATGTTGCTGTAATTGAAAATTATTTTCACTTTTGTGTTTATCATTATCAGCTGCCATTTTACATGCTACACACTCGGCCATCCCACTTGCCACTTCCCACATCCCGCATACCCATCACCATCTGCGGCATTATCGTCGCATGGGAATTATTGTTTGCCGTGATTTAAGTGCTTTAAATATGCACATCTGCATGTATTTAATATTTATGCGGACCCAGGACGAGGCGTGGGCCGCGTCCATGCATAATTATCAACTTTATGGGAATAGTTTTGGCGCTAGTCGCGCTTTTTTCTGTAGTTTTGTCAGGGGGTTTCGGCACCATTGCATTGACACATGTAAAATTACAGATTTGGATCCAAAGAGCTGGCGGCTTATGGTTTGGTTTTCGCCATCAGTTCTGAAGTCACGTTGAAATGTTAAAAAAATGTATAGCTAGGTTTTTAAAATCATATTTAAAGGTCTAACTATGAGTCTAAAAATATGCAGTGAATAAAGGATAGTTGCTTTTCTGTGAGAATTCATATCACTTTTAGATTTAAAATAAATTGTGGCATACTTTCAGACACCAATTTTAGCACCCCCATATTTTAAATATTTTCAGCACATAGTTGTGCTTTAAATAAATGTAGGTAGTTTTATTTTATATTTAGAACTACCTAACCGCAGGTTTAAATGCGATTAAAAATATTTTAATACTTTCAAAATTAACCTTGTTAAAAAGTTTTTATTTAAGTCTAAACTAAGATGTAAATATTAATTTAATTGATATCAAATTATATTTAGTTGTGAATTAGGTATACTGCATTTAAACAAGCAGTTAAGTAGTTTTAGCTAGTGGTCAGTCAATTACAGTTTTATGGGACCATATAACAGCTGATTCGTAAATTAGTTCGGTTTACTAGCCATTAAACGGATGATTCCCAAACCGATTTTGGGCAACTGCAAACTCCACCTCGCCGCATTAAAAGCCCCGCTGAGCAAATCAAAATTAATGATACGATTTAACCGCTGGGGAATCGGCTGGGGAATAAAAACAAAAGGCCAACTGTTTTTAGAGAGGGCCGTAAATATTTAATGCGAGGAAGGAAAGCATTTGCGATTGTCGCGCCGACGTGAACAATTTGGCACTTCATTTTTTACAATTATCAGACGACGGGCAGACAATTGGGCCGACAATCACCGCCGGCCAGGTGAGGAAAATCGGAAAAGAGTGAGAGCGGGAAAAATGAGCAAGGTGAAAACATAATTTTTACACAATTAAAATGAGGCGAGAAATATGTGTGCGCAATTGAACGGGCAGACAGTGGTTCGCAAAATGTTGCGGCTAGTTTGAAATAGTTTTGTTTAAAGTTTAAACATTTAATCAACACTTTTTATTTTTTTCTCTTTATGTAAAAATTAAATAATTAAATTGTTTGTCTGTATTTAACTGAAAATTTTTAATTTTAAGCCGGTGAGTATTTTTGCAACATACTGTGCAAACCCTTTGAACAGATTTTGCACGAATCGCGATATCAAAAGGATCAGCTCGGCAAAATGTGAATGCGAATGCGGATGTGAATGTAAAGTGGATGAGTGAGTGAGTCAGTGAGTGAGTCAATTAAATCGCCATTGAATGGCCAGTGTTCAGTTTTCGATGTTGCCCGTTGTCTTTTGTTTATTTATTTATTTGTTTGTTATTTATACGTTTTAATGCCAAATGGCAATTGGCAATGGCAACAATGCAATGTGCAGAATGCTATATGCTGAATGCAGAATGGTAGCCATGACACTGCATTAAGCAGTCTCCAGCAGTTATTAATCGCCCGATTTTCCCGCTCTCCAGCCGAGGGAGGGGTTGAGGTTGTTCAATAGACTCGCATTACGGCGAAACAATTATCAAGTCGGTTTGCGTTCAATTGCCCGCCGGAATGCGGAATGCGTCCGTCCGATATCCGTTTCCTGTCCGCTGTCCGCCGTCCAATCCACTGCACAACACTGATTACAGGGTTGCATTCAGGCGAAGAGAGGCCCTGATAAGCCCCAGATTAACCCCCGATATCTCCCGTGAGCCCTGTTCAAACGGATCCGGCCAGAAGTCAGCAGCCCACTGACAAGATCTGTTTTTTCACGTTAATTCTCTGTTTGCCTTTCGCCGCAGGGAAAATCCCAGAGTCCGACATGAAACATTTTAAAACTGCACGCAAGAATACTCCTAATTATTGTATTGACATGTCATTTTTTCTTTTTAATTTGCCTGCAGCTAATGATGTATTCATTTTATAACCAATATTAAAGTCGGATCTTGATTTGTCATTTTATTAGTTTTAATCACTTTGAAACAGGAAAATCGTCATTTCGGCTTGTCATTTTTCGTATTTCTTTTTTAATAACATAGTATTTAGTGAAAGGAAATTTACTTATCTGTCTTTATTTTCATTTGTTAAAAAAATTATAAGCATTAAGTAAAAATACAAATTTACGCGTGAACTTGATATTTTCGAAAACACCTAAATCATGGCTGTAAATTTGCTTACCGTTGCGAAGGTAAAAGTTGAATGGTTTTCAATAACTACAAGAAATCTCAATTCACCTCCGTCACGAATAATAATTATTATAATTATAATAAATGCCTTCTTTAACAACTTGCAACTATATTTTTTAATGAAAATTATAATAAATGTTTTTTTTTAATTGTAAAAAAATAACTTGCTTGTTTAACTTTGTTGTTCCGATCGGACGTTTATATCATATAGTGGTCGGATAAATCTCAAAAGCAGTTTAAAATATAACCGAGAGCAAGATAACATTTTTGCCGATCAGACGACTATATCCTATAGGTAACATAGGAACAATTGTGTTAATGAAAAGAGTTGGTCAAAATGTTGCCTATATTTAGCCGCAATTAAATATTTAATATATTTTTCTATTTATACTATTTAAGCCCGTTCTCGTTCCTTAATAAAAACATATTTTTATTTAGCTTCCATTTTTGAATTGACATTTTTCTAATCTATTAAACTTTCTAATCTGCATTAAAAATTATAAAAATTTACCATTTTTTAAATGGGTACACATTGTTAAATTCAACAATTAAACTAGTAAACAGCAAAATAAATAAAACCTAGTAAATTATTATTTTAAATAACATTCACGTTTATTAAAACAAGTGGCTGTTATCAAATGCCTCTAATAAGGTTCTATAAATAATTTTTAAAATTAGTTCAGCCTTATCAGCATTTCAAAATTTGTAAAAAAGGTGGTCTCAACGATTCAATGATTAAATGAAAATGTAAACTTTTTTTAAACGAATTTTTTTAAATCCAATCGCCAATCCATTTTAAATGTGTTTAGTTTCTCTTTACATGCCCGTTTTAGTTTTAAAATATCAAAACCTAACAAAAAAATGTACCAAATGTAATCATTTAATACAATTTCTTTTTTTAATTTGATTTTATTTGAAATAAATTTAAAATTGTGCCGATGTTAAACTTTCAATTTATAATTTCGATTTTTTTTTACATTCCCTTGACTTTGAATTGCAGAACAAGTAATTGTTAACACATAAAAATAGGTGAATATCTTTCACCAGCGTATTAATTTGCGTTTTTTTGTACTCTTCCGATCCTTTTACCTTCCAGGAGCGAAACGACGACCAGCAGGTGAATTATCATTTTGCCATTCCGATCGAACCGGGCGAGTGGAGAATTCCGAAATAACCGTTTCGCCGTGATTCGCATTTGGTATCAACAATTCCGCAACGACATTTGCGATCGGCACGCGAACAAAACAGTTTCACTGCACAGAAAAAATTCCAAAAAAAAACGTATATTCACCAGAAACCAGAAAAAAGTGTGTTTATTATATTTAAGTTTATTTCTTATTTGTTGCAAATTTATTTGATTTATTAGTAAATATTTTCCAGGCACGCGAATATTCCGTTCTAGCAGCGACTTGCGGCAGGATTCGAGCTCCGTTTGAACGTTTTTCAACCAGCCGACAGCGCCGACGTTGATCAACTGAAGATGCAGCCGCCGGAAAAAGCATCCTGCGGCCTCCTGCGCGACGACCGAAAACGAAGCGCCCCGAAAGCCCCGAACATCCACGATTTGGGGACGAGGCCGCACGAAGCGGCATCGTAAGCGTTAGCCGTTGGATACTGTAAAACCGAACGGGCGCCCCGAAGGACCCGCTGACGAACGCTCGTTGCCAATTGTCGAAGTGGATGTTCGAATCGAACGCCGTCCACCATGTGCCGAATGCCATCCACACGGCGGGCACGTGGTGGATCCCATGGCTCTGGGGCCCCGGCGGGGGCGGTCCTGGCGGCGCAGGCGCCGTGTCCTTCGGAGGAGGAGTGTCGTCCGCATTCGTCTGACAAATGGTACGACAATTGCTACAAGCTGTGGTGGCACTTGGCCACCGCCTGCTAGAGTCAGAAGCGGAATCAGAATCAGAGCCAGAATCACAACCAGAATCTCCTGCGACCACAGCGGCCCCACGTTGGGCGCCAATTCTGACGAGATGGCTCGAGATTTGACATTTACCATTTACCAGAATTTAAGGTCACATTAGTAGGGCCACCAATTGCTGAGCGCTGAGCCATCCATCAACCCATTATGTGTGCAAGTTCCTTTTCATCGCTCTAAACCTTGATTTGGAACAGGCTTTAATCTAATTAAGTAGAATTCTCACAACTTCGAATTTACCCTTAGGATTTTAGATAGGCAGATAGATGTTTTCCTTATCCCTTTCCTTTTGTGCATTCATAGCTTTAAATTCTTTTTTTTACTTTTAAATATAAATTAAGTATGAAATATATTTTAATATAGTTTAATAGATTACATTTTTAATTGAAATCGATATCAAGCGATGTATTTTTGATTTTCAATAAATTCATATAAATCATTTTGAGCTTTCGCATATCCACGGCCAATTACTTTTGCCCAAAATCCTCGTAAGTTGTCCGTTTCGAACTGGCCTCCAGCTGACATTCGGTGGTTGATCAACCGCCCAATCTCACACCACCCAAGGGCCACTTCCATTTGGCCAGCGAAAGGAGCAACTTTCGCAGCGCTGGGCGGAAAAAGTTTCGAATTGCATTCGGCATTCTGCATTCTGTCAGATAAGCAGGCGACACAATCCCAATCGAAATCCCAAATGACATAATTTTCAATATTTCAATGTCGGGAAAATAGGAAGATTGCACTGGAATTTAATTGAACTTTAACTGTCAGTTCTTCGGCTCCTCGGAGGCGTCACGAGTTCCTTGGCCAGGATGTGACAGGGCCGAAAGTCAGGGCTGTCAAAGCTGCTGCAAAGTGGCTTAATTATCCAATAGACGCTAGATTCTGGATGTCAGCGGATGCCAGTCATCTTAAATTGTGGATAGTGTCTTCAACTTTTGCGCTAAATAACTCAATTACGCCACCGACTTTTCCTGATGATTGCCAGTGGGTGGAGGGCGTTTTTGGGGTTCTTTGCTAAGGCATAATTATGCCATTATGCAATTTTTACCACCCGATCCGCTTAAATGAATTGCAGCTGCTCCACCATCAGCTGAAATGCGCTGCAACAAATCAAAGTGCGATTCTTTGAATGCCACGACGAAAACTTTTCGGCAATTATCCGCAGGAAAAGCGGAGAAAAACGAAGAAAATCGGAGCAAGTGTGGGGAAAAGTTGGTTGAGCGAATTTAGTTAAATCCGAACTACTACGAAGGAAGATCCACATTTTCTGTCCCCAAAAAACATTTAAATAGGAATTTTACAAATTAATTTGGAAATTGTAATGTAAATCAAATAAATCTTAAAATCTGATGGAAATACTTAAATAATGTAAATAATCTAATCAATATTTCTGTTTCAAACTTTTTATTTAATTTATGTATTCTTCTTTTAAAAATTAGATGTATTAAAATAATGAGTGTTTTTTTTCAGGTCAATGTCTTTTTAAACTAAACACTTTTAAGATCTCAATTCCTAAGCCCCAATTTCATTTCGGGATTATTAACACCTATACAATGGGGCACAAATAAGTCCTCGGCAACACATATGGTTAACTAATCCTGCTCTTTTTCCTTCACTTTTCCCAGAAAACTTCTGGGACAACGAAGAAACCAAAACCAAAACTTTTGTTTCTAAAACTCGTGTTCCAAGTACCCCACACAAAAGGGAAAATTCTGGGCGAAGATGGGGCCAGGTGTGTGTGAATTTTGAATTTGGAAAACTCCCCCTTTTCGTCCTTGTCTGGCAGACACCTGCTGGAGCTGTAATAAGTATGCAGCGACTACTATATCCTAGCATATCCTGGAATTGAATGATTGAGGGTATATAGGTGCATTGGAAGCGGAATTTAGAATATTTTTTGAATATTTTTACCCTTCAAGGAAATGTGTATTTTGTAGATATTTTTGAATAGTTAAGTATAAGCTACATATTTTGATATTTCTTTTACAATTTTTAAACGAATCCTTGAAATGTATTTTTTAAATTATTTAAAACAAATAAAATAAAAGGTATTTGAGTAGCCCCAAAAACCCTAAAAAAAATCGAGGTTGTTCTTTGGTTGTTAGGTGTTAAAGCGGGCGAAAGTTGGAGGCCATGTAGACAAGGACGAATGGGGGTGGGAGTTAGGGAGGACGAAGGAGGCAGAAGGCAGGAAGCAGCTGCATGTGTCGCGTACGTGTGCGACAACAAAAGCAAAAACAACACTGTGAACAAGCGACAACAGTGTGACCAAATGTGCATGTGAGTAGATGTGCTTTGCGTAGGTGTGACTGTGTGCCTGTGTAAATCGCACATTTCAATTTGCATGTGTTAGCGACAAACTTTTGATAAGTGTTACTCGCATTACACAAAGGGAAGGAAAAGGAGAGCAGATCCACAAACTTATTGTCAAACACGAACAGGAACCATCACTCCCACACTGCCATACATATGCAAATTCAGTTGCCATACACAAACACACATATCAATATTTTTCAGACACTACGTGCTCGGCGAATTTCGCACACCTCGGGATCGATGGATAATGAAATTGCACATGGCATTGAGTATATTATGTCGAAAAATTTCAAATTATCTGCGAAATTGCTTTCGCTGCCGAGGCAATAAAAGAAAAATCGCAAAAGGACTGTAAACAAGAATTTAAAGTCAAGGGTTGACCATATAAGCACTTGTTAATGAAACTGCGGGCTTCCAATGGGTATTTATTCATATAAGTTCAGTTTAATACTTAAGTTTTGTACATTTTCATTTATACTCACTTGACTAGCTTGAATGTTTTTTATTTGTTTGTACTCGAATCCTTAGCAATTGCTAACAAATTGATAAATTGGTGGCCCAAAGCCCTCGTCGTTGGGCCAACATATGAGGTCACAGGCGGATGTGCTTCTGTTTTTCCCCACCCATTTCCCATTTGCCTCCGCTCGTTGAACGTTGATGAGTGCTCCGGTTATCTGGCATCCATATTCCCATGTTAACTGTCGCCTTTAGCGGGGAAAAGCTGGAAAAGTGGGCGGAGTGTGGGTCCTTACAGACTTATGAGCATATCCTGTGAATTGAAGAACGTCATCAGGGCAGACAAAAGGCAAAACAAATTGAGAGCACAGCATATGCTCTGCATCACCCCTCTTAAAATACACAAAAGTCTGTTGTCCACTTAGCTCTTCTTACACAATAATTCGGAAAAAATTCTTAACATAAATAATAAATTTAAGTATATTTTTTTAATTACAATTCCCATGATCAACAAAAACCCATCAAGTAAATATATTTCTATTTAATCCAGAAAAAATTATTTAAATTTAATACAAAAATGTTTTATTATAATTGTAATAATGTAAAATCCAAAGTTTAAGCGACTTTTTTTGGAATTTTAGCTGTTTTTCTCGAAAGCCTGACAACACTATTGGCCACTTTTTTAGGTGCACCATAAAAACTACACCCACCGACGTGTTATCTCTCGGCTGTGCGTCATTTCACAAGAAGAAGAAGAGCAGGCAGACCGCAACAAAACAAAATCTGACAATAAGTGTGAAAATGCCACCCCTTTCCACTATTTTCCACTCCCCTCCCTGCCATGCAAAACTAAAAGAAAAATGTTTAAATATTTCCTGCTTTTTATTGTGGTTACACTCGCCGCCCGTCCCTCTCGCACTTTATCTCTGTCTCCCTCTCTTTTGCAAAATCAAAAGCTGAAGTGAAGCTGAAAAAGGGAAAAATAACAGCCACAATGAAGAAAGTGGCACAAAAAAAAAAACAGCAGAAAGCACAGGAAGTTGAAGAATAAGGAGTTTGCCGAAAGGGTAGAATATCCGAATATCCTAAGTTTAAAATGTAAAATTGTGGCATATATATAAATCAAATAATCAAACATATTTTCTTTGAGATAAGAAATTATTAAATCTGAATAGTTTAAATAAAATAAAATAATTTATATTTAATTTTATACTTATAAAATATACAACCAAACTATATTACACAAACTAAAACAAAAATGTTTGGTTTTCTCAATAAATATTTAGTTTAAAATTATTTTGTGTAAGCTAACAGCAGTTGCAGTTTTTCCAGGGTATCTAAAATGTCATTTAACCGCATATACATATATCTGCAACTGAACTATCAGTGGAACAAGAAGAAGAAATGGCAGAACAAACGGGAGCGAAGCGTAAAAAATAGCAACACTTTCCGTGTGTTTTGCATTGTTGTGAACTGCACAGAAAGAAACAGGTATAATGGTACATGAAATACCTTAAAATGCTAAGATTATTTCAATAAAATTTAAAATGTCGGAATAAATTAAGTTTTAC